AGAAGTAGCAGGCTCCACATGCACCTTCTGCCCATTCACACCGCGTGTGGCGCAGTTTGTGACTATCTGGGGACAAATGAAAATCCATTGGGAGAAGGCAGAAGGTCAGAGGAGTACTTTGGGATGGGAGAGATAAAAATCCTTACCAGAGAACATTTAATCTTGAGGAGCTTATCCTTCTCCCAGGGAACGCAGTGCATTTGCATCATTCTCTTTGGCAGTTAACCTTTTACATTTTATGCTTATGACATTTCTGTCAGGCCCTCTGTGTGCGCCAGCGAAAGGCAGAGGTCTTTGGACACCATTCAGGAAGTCGAAGGTGTCTGGGGGCTGGGAAGCTTGACCCGCGGCAGTCTGGTAGAGGAGGGCGGTGACGCAGAGCTGCAGGGCAGCTGGAGAAAAGGACTCAGGATGTGGAGACAAGCTGCCTGGAGCAGCGCTCCTCTGGAGACTTCTTGGGGGTGCTTGGGTGTCGTGTTTGGCCTTCGCTGTTGGACCAAGGGAACCATAGAAGTGTCAGAGCAGGTTTTCTAAACCAGCATGTACGTTTGTGCGCGTGGAGGTTTAGATGCAAGAGTCAGCGCGTCACAGGAAGAGCAGGCTTGTTTGGGGGGTAAATCAAAATCTAAGCACAGGGAGTCCGAAGATGTTCCCTGTAGCTTTCTCTTGGGAACATGGCCTCCTAAGCTGTTAATCAGGGCACCAGGCAAAATATTCAATAATATTATTTCCAAGGCTAAGAATGTGACTCAGGGACAGAAACCATGGGAACCCATTTATTTTGTGAAATTGTTGTCTCTCTTTGGAAGAGAAGACTAGAAGATGAATAAGGAGACCTGTGCTACTTAAAGGTTAAGTGTGAGTGAGGGAACTCTCTCTGCTTTCTCAATACGTTAAATATTCAGGTGAGCTGTCAATGTAAGGTGATGGATTTAAAAGTAAAATCTTAGCGTGGATTGGAAATAAATGCTATAAAAAGGTAGAGTTTATGGGATTTAACATTTGTAAAATATTTCCACAGGATCTGAGGCACAATTTTATTTTATGATTAGGACTTTTAATTAGGTTTAAAATTCTGGCCCTTAATTTTTTAGCTATATGTCTTGGGGTAAGTTTGCCTTTATAAACGTCAATGTTTGTCACCTGTTAAATGTAGTTGTAGAGTTCAATAAAATAATATGTATGGAATGTTAGCACAGTGCTTGAGCCATAGCAAATGTTTCATAATAATTAAACCCTATTAGTATTTTACCCTTTAGGCCATAAGAAAACACTCATTAACTGCTTCCAAATGAAAAGAATCCTAGTTGGGTGACATTCTTAGTTTGCTGAAAGAAAAAATATTCTCTGTACTCAATAAGTGAGAGATTTGGCCAAACTATTAAAATATTTGGATGGGATAAAGTTCTGGGTAATATTCTAATTTTAATTATTTTTGAATTTTGTTGGGGAATAGTATTTAATATTTCTAAACACCTGCTATGAGTCAGGTGTTTTGAAGTCACTTTGTTTACAATGTCACTGCAAACTGACTATGCTTCCCCCCATTAGAGGCCAGGGAACTGCGGCCCAATGCGATGAAAGGACGTGACCAAGCTGATGTACGTGGTGAGTGGAACAGAGGTCTGAAGGCCAAAGGCTGCACTCCTTCAGTTCATTTCACAAAACCAGGGCACGGAAGGACGAAACCTTCACGTGCACAGCCTGGCCCTGCCGTGGGCCCTGAGGGCATCACAGCATTTCTATTTTGATGTTCCCATTAAACTGTTACCCTGTAGAGGAGGCGCCTGGCAAAATGGCAAAGTCACCCCTGAGCAGGCACCTAAGTCAAGCGATAAATCACATGCGGTGCTTGGGCTCCTTTTCCTGTTCAGGGACTGAGACTGGCTCCCTCGGTTCAACCCCAGCAGTCAGCTTGACGGCTATTCAGAGCCAACAGGCACTTGTACTGATTTAGTTGGTAATAAAAGCTTCTTAAGCGCCGTGGGTAGCTGTTTAGGAGAAAGATTGAATTTAAAAACATGCACCTGATTATTTAGCAGCTTTAGAAATATCTGAGGATAAAATGTTCAGTTTTCAGGTAAAGCTGCTTTGGCAGCGTGATTTCTGTAACACTGGGCCATTGTAGAGGCTGCTTAATACAGGCGAGGCGCAGATATTTTTTGTCTTCATATGTTGTTTTGGAACATTATGTTCCTGCATGTTTTTAATCAGACAAACACGCCTCTATGGGCCACATGAATGCAAGTTCTTTACTAACTCTTTTTAAAAATGTTATTTTATTTAACTTTTAAAAATTCTTTCCTAATTATTTGCAAATAAATCTCTTTAGGACCATTCCTTAAAGGAAGCACTTTGTTGGTTACTAATATATGTGTCTATTTCCAGAACATTTGCTTCTACATCTTTCTTTGCATTTTCAGGCTGGAAAGTGCTGAACCTGGCTTGCTGTTGAAACTCTTCCTGGTCCTCTCATGTTAACCGGTCTCCTCACCCTCACTGAGCCCGCTCTCATCTATGAAATCGAAGTGTCTCTGTTTTCTCTTTAGGGTGTTGTGTGAGTGCCTCAGTGTAAACGCAAGTGCTTTGCAAATTGCTCAAGCCCTTTGAAAAAATCATCGGTGTTTACTAAGGAGTGCTAATGAGTCAACAGCATCCTAAATTTCTGACATCAAGCTGCAGCGAGAGGCCGGGAACTGTATAATGAAGACATGTAGTTTGTCATTTAATGACGATAAGAGAGGGACATGGAAGAAAATCCCAAATGTCGTAGAAGGTTTCTGGGGAAAGGAAACCAAGGGGCAGACATGCTTGAAAGACTTTTTATAAGAGATAGGGTTACTCCACAGCAGCTGCAGTGCGACATTGCTTTATAGGCAGAGTGGGATAGTCAGACGTGGTAGTCCCTTATCTGCCTCTTTCTCTTGTGTGACAGGCTTAGTCTTTCTGAAAAAAGTGAAGATAACTCCTATTCCACAGGGGAGTGAAGATAATATAATATACATAAAATGCTCGAAGTGGGAAAATATACATAGAATGCTTGGTGCATAATGTAGCTCATCAAATAACTATACTCTCTCTTTCTGTCTCTCCCCTCTCCTTCTATTTTATTTTTGGTCAGACAGGAGTTCTAGCTAGACAGAACACTATCAATAGTACTTGAAACTTGTGCGATTCTCAGAGCATTCAGGTGAATTCTAAAAGCAATCAGAGCCGGGTGTGGTGGGGCATGCCTGTAATCCCAGCACTTGGGAGGCTGAGGTAGGAGGATCATTGTGAGTTCGAGACCAGCCTGAGCTACAAAGTGAGCTCAAGGCCAGCCTGAACTGCATAGCGAGACCCTGTCTCAAAAAGAAAAAAAAAAAAGTTCTGAGGGAGGCAAGAAGCTGCTTATGCAGTGAGGAGTGGTTACACGGATTAACCTCCGGACTCATTCAGTGATAAGGTCCTATGCTGAGGAGTGAAGAAAGTAACTACCATTTTAAGCGGGACTCTAGGTAAGACGCTCTCGCTAAGGGATGCTTCACAAAGAATGGAGTTTTCCAAACTGCAGAGTGGATTTATGGGTTTAAAAAATTATTATCTACTGCTTGGAAGCACTTTCTTTTTTTTTTTTTTTTTTTTTTTTTTTTTTTTTTTTCCGGTACCGGGAACCGAACTCACAACCTTGCGCTTGCCAGGCAGGCGCGTTTGCCGCTGAGCTAAATCCCCAGCCCCGCACTTTCTATATCTTTCAGCAAACAACCCGGGATTCATACATGTGAAGTCAATTATGCAACCATTTGAGAATCATTGTGAAAATATCTAAACAAGGATGAGCTGCCAGCAACTTTAATATTTAAATACAAAAGTGCATATAGTTAGGGAAGTAGGATGGAAATCATTTGAAAGAAAGAAGCACTGTCCCGTGTTGCCCTTGTTGCCCGTGTTAGGCCCAGTGGGACCGGACTGTCTGGTGTACCGACTGCGGACTCCACGTGGTCGCAGCATAGCTGCTGAGTCCTCGGCATTTCCGACTTTCCCCGGGCCTCCCTGAATGGAAGGAAGTGAGCGAGGTTTTGAAAGTTGCCTGCATTTCAAAGATGGGTAGATTTAAAATCATTGGCATGAGTATACCGTAACACATTACATCTATTTTTTTCTGTCTGTAGGTTAGAAAATGATTCTCAGCTTTCCCGTATCAGTTTCTTCCATGATATCTATTTCTTATTATCTACTGCTTGGAAGCACTTTCTATATCTTTCAGCAAACAACCTGGGATTCATAAATGTGAAGCTGTCAATTATGCAACCATTTGAGAATCAATGTGAAAATATTGCAAAAATATGTGAAAATATCTGGTACTAATAATCCCATCTTATAGTTGAACTTTCTAGTTTTTTCATGTTCAGTGCCTCATTTTAAGTCAAGGTAACTTGAAAACTTGCTACACCAGACCTCACCTGATTCCAAGGTCAAGACAGGGAGGCATGGGACGAGTACCTGTGACCAGAAACCATGGAGGTCACAGAGGGAGATGGCAGCAGACGGAGTATTCATGGATAGACAGGCAGACAGAACCTTCTCTTCCAGAATATCAAGGCTGAGTTCGGGGATTGTGTGGTAGAAGTGTGAAGGTGACACAGGCTAACACGGCCACAGACCTGGGAGGTAAGAGGGGGCTGGGGCTGGGAGGAGTCCTTTTGGTACATCTAACCATGTGCCAGATAGATGACGTTAGTTCAGTACACAGACTTTAAATATACTCACAACCCTAAAAGGTAGGTACTGTAGGATATCAGCCCAGACAGTATGGGGAACTCAGCAGTATGCGTTCAAGAATAAACCTACTGTCGCTCTGCTCAGGTGACATTCAGAGTGACAGTTCTGTCATTCCTCCTGGTGTGCTTCCCTAGTTTTTTTAGAAATCCAGATGGAAAATGTGTTGTGCCCCTGAAAATGAGAATGGCTCTTCTGCATGCAGCCAAGTCAAGGTAGTTCTGGGTCTCGGGGGGCCGTACCTGTGTATACTTTGCTCCAGAACCTGGATCTGGTGCTGGTCTTGTTGATTTTGCTTCTTCATCTCTTCCTGTTCTTTTCCGGTGCTGATCCCATCCAGAAGCCATTTCTCCCTCAAGGCTTTTTTCTGATGTCAAGAAATAGAGACACATGTTCTTATGTAAGTCATCAATTTCTGAAATCTCTAACTTCTTTCAAATCTCTAACTTCATTTGCAGTGGACATATTAAAGAATTATTTTCTCCCACCGCCTTGCCTGAATAAATCTGGTATTTTCCTTGTGCAACCTTTGCCACCTCCCAAAGCTGGTTCATATTTATTGCAGTCACATAGAAACCTTCATGTATGATGTCTTTACTGTTTCTTTGGTTGATGGGTGTATATCTTGTGCTTTTAATGAAGTAAAACCTCTCCGAAAGCCATCTTGTTAATCACTCTAGCAACAGTACACAGTGACTCACCTCCCCAAACCTTGTGTGGGAACAGCTGGAACGGCAGGCAAAACAGCAGGTTGCTGTTGCTTGCATTCTGATCTTACATGAATTCAGTGTTATTCTTAGGCCGTGCAAGAGACAGTCAGTGTTCTGTTCCTCAGCACCTTATCTTTCCTGAAGACCTCCGTGGCCCTAGACATCTTTAAGTCCAGCTCCCTGCCTGTTCTAATAATAAGAGGTGCAAAATTGATTGCTGCGTCCAAATATTAATGAGAGTAAGTTTTGTCAAATTTAAGAACATAAGAAAGACTCTTGTTTTATTATATGGAAAGAGTTCTTCTTGAATTTGCATGAAAAAATTAATCTCTTTGTTTTGAGCAGTGAAAAAGAAAGACATAAAGCAGTGAAAGAGACCTATAAATTTTGGAGGAGTGATAGCCAGAATCCAGTCCATGTCTCGAGTAGAAACTGCCAGGTATATTGTTATCCTATTTTCAAGGCGTTTGAATTTCTCTCATACTTTCTGAAGAGAAGGGCTGTCATAGGTATCTCGTCTACCTCTATACATTATTTGCTCAGTTACTTGTGCCACTGAGCTATATCCCTGACCCTGCTCAGCTACTTATTGTTAATTATTTATTAGAGATTTGCTGTGACTATAATAGTGGGGAAAGAATAGGAACTTTATCTACTTTCTTTTATGTTAGAATTAAAAGGAGAGCAGGTAAGAAGAATTTTGTGTCTTTTAAAAAAAGATGTAGAATTAATACCACTGGGGGAGAAATGTTTCTGAATTAAAAATAATTTAATTATGCTAAGTTGTGTTAAGTAATTACCAAAGGATTATTATTTTAACTAGAGCAAAGGCTTTCAAGTCAGTTAAAAAAACCCAAATTGCAGTGATTCCAAATGCGTCTTCTATGGAATGAAAGTTTGGAGGAAAACTCTGGACGCCTCTAATTGAGTCAGTGAGGAGGCCAGGAAGTTTTAAGTACACAGAAAATGGTTTGAAAACCACTAGATGCAGCAAGGAAAAACCTCACCCTAGATCGTCATGTTTGTGCTGACCTTTAAGCAATTGCGCTGAACCACACACACCAGAAGAGCAGTTTGTATTGCTATGTTCTGTTCCCGGAGAATCTTTCCCCAGTGGTGACTTAACCATTTATTATAAAGTTGATTAGCTGTTTGTAAAAATATTTTCCCATAGACTCAGTAAATATTGTTATTCTTTTTTGTTTGTTTGTTTTTTGTTTTGGGAGTTTTTTGGTACCAGGAATCGAACTCAGGACCTTGCACTTGTCAGGCAGGTGCTTGTGCTGCTGAGCTATATCCCTAGCCTAATGTTATTATTATTATTTTAATTTCTTTTTTTGTTTGTTTGTTTTGTTTTTCTTCCAGTACCAGGAATCGAACTCATGACCTTGAGCTTGCCAGGCAGGCACTTTGCGCCTGAGCTAAATCCCCAGCCCCTATTTTTTTTAATTTCTAATTTTCCATTTATTATTGCTATTTAGTCACAGAAAAGATAACATTTTCCAAGAAATTTACTTTAGCATATGCTGTGCATAGATATAATTTTATATGAAGAGAAACTATGGCAGAACAGGGACCTTTGCAAGGAAACCCAGGAAAGGCAATAAAGGAATTCTTCCATACAGACTTCTGATCTGCATTATTTGATTCTTTTTCTCAAAATACAAAACCTTAACACTAGAAGCAAAGAGAAAAACAGTAAAGCAGAAAACAGTGAAATAAAAGACCAGGGATAAGTAACTGTTTTACGCTGATGCACTGTGTATATAGTATATATGTATGCAGCCCAATATTATTATTCTTCAACTTTTACAAATAATGAATAGATATTAATTTTTAGGATCTTTATATTCTTTATTTGTACTTCTCACATTTCCGTTGTCTATCTACTAGCATTGTGACGTTTTGTATTTATTTAATTCACTAATACACCTTCAGTGCTTTTGCTTTATTGGTACATACTAGTAGTACAGAGTAATGAGATTGGTCTTGGTGTACTGGTACATACATATAATTTGATTATGTTCATCCCCATCACTCTCCTGTACCTTCCCTCCTCCTTATTTCTCTTCCCGATTTCAAAAAGGCTACCTTCCAGGTCCCTGTCATCTCTCATTCATTTACTTATAGATTGCTCATATAAGAGAACACATATAATATTTAACATCTGACTCTGGCTTAGTTCTCTTAACATGATGGTTCTAGTTCCATTAATGTTCCTGCAAATGACACGATTTTATTTTTTTATACATGAATAAATACTCCATTATGTATATATGCACCATGCTTTTCTTTATCCATTCATTCACCAATGGGCACACAGACTGTTTCTATGGCTTAGCTGTTGTGAACTGTATAGTAGACATGGGCATGCACGTATCGCTATAGTACGCTGCCTTTAATTCTTTGGAGGTATACTAAGGAATGGTATAGCTGCACTAAGTATACTAAGGAATGGTATAGCTGGACTAAATGGAGACTCTAGTTTTAGTTCTTTTGGTGACTCTCCATACTGATTTCTATAGTAGTTGTGCTAGTTTATCTTTCCACTAACAATGTAGGACAGACCCAGTAAATATTATTAATGTATGTGAATATTTGGCTTTTGAGGTCAAAGATGCCAAGAAAATCTGAATATATCAGCATTTTAAGAATTTACCTTGATTTTAATACATTTTTATGCTTTTTTCTCTAGGAAACACTCAGATGGGATTGTCTTACAATATTGAGTTATAGAGGGCAGAGAAAGATTCTTGTAACACAATTAGGTTAACTTCTGGCTACATTCTTGGTTTTCAGTTTGGTTAAGAACAAGAACAATTTTAGTTTTAGTCTTATAAAACTTTGTCCATACTTCACAAATTGTCATTTCCCCTGGTGGAGAACTTTTTCCACTTAAATACAAAATACACAATTTGTGTGAGCAATGAAAATGATCTGGTATTATGGCATATATTCAGAAATCAAGACACAGTTATTTTGTTTTTGTGTCACAGTTTAGATTTGTGCTTTAGTAAATGAGACTAATGACTAAGATAAAAATCTATTCAGGCTCAGGAGCTAAAGATCAGAGTGGGTCACTATAACTTTTTAAAAATGTGTGTATGCTTATGTTGTCTAATGTGTACCAGTGGACTGTAATGAAATAGTTTGCAATCAGGGAAGCTGTGAGGTTAGTCATGGGAACCAGTATAAATGGATGGAAAAAAAGAGCTAAATCTGTAACTGTAGAGGCCAATAGAACTTAGCGTGGTGAACATATTGTAGAATTGACTTGTAAAATGCTTTTGCACACTTTTGAATCCTGTTTTGGAATTGTGTCCGCTTGCTCTTTGGTCTGGTCAGCTATCCTGTAAACTTGAAAAAAATGTGTCTATTGAAATATCCACTCTTTCCTCTGTGTTCTCTTTGCAGTTCTTATGCCTCCCATATAGTGTTCTTTGTAGTATAAATGTCTTAAGTTTATGTGTCAGTTACCATTTTAAATGCTCAGGACAAATTTTATTTATTTTATGTTCTCAGTGTGCAATTTAGTACCTTGTGCATAAATAATAGGTGTTTGCTTAACAAGTGTTTATTCTCTGAAAGGTCCTATGCACACCTGTATACATTCCACTTAACAGTTAAGTCTCCCTTGAGATCCCACATCTTTAATAGAACCTTTTCTGACCATCTCAGATTAAATAATTAATGCTTATACTCTAAATAAGATGCTGTCATTTAACTAACTTATCTTTTTCATTTACTGTTTAATTTCCCAAATTAGGAAAAAAATATTATTTCTTCTTCCCACTCAGCCCTTCAGGTCAGGGCACAGTTTGGGAAAGTGAAGGGAGCACCTTCATTCAGAGAATACGAAAACCTCTTGCTCCAGGTGCAAACAAACAGCCCTAAGCCAGGGCACACACTGAGCAGAGGAGAGAGGCAGTGTTTCCGCGCCCCTTCCACGGTCTGCACGATTGTGTTCGGCAGTCCAAAGCATGGTGAATATTTTGATTGCACTGGACTAGAAGACGCCTCCCGGCTCCAGAAAGCAAACCCATAGGGAAGATCATGCATTACTTTCTGGACTTTTTTTGGAAGTGCTGTAGTGAAACACCACCTCAGAAATGGATGTTTCAGTGAGTGAGGCTTCTCCTATGGGAAACTTCCTAAAGTGAACCGAGGGGACAGTTAAGCCTTCTCTGCTGCCGTGAGGTCTGCTGTGATTTGGCTATCCATTCTGCAAGGACAGCGATGACTGAGAGCTGGAGAGCTATCAGCTCACTCGGAAGGAAGAAGTGATTCAGTGGCTGTAAGAGCCCAATTTTACATAAATTGCATAAGAAAGAAACAAGGAGGGAGAGAGGGAGACGGGGAGGGAGAGGGAGAGAATGCAAGATAGTCATCTAGTTTTGGAGTTAGAAACAGTTGACCTCAGAAGTGCTCCAGATTTGACTGACTTCACTGAAAATGCACTGAAATAATTTGGAAAGATTTGCTTTTAATTCATCGTTGCCTCATAGTGCACACTGTGTTTCTTGGGTCAGTGTCTACTCATTGTAAATTCAGGGCAACACACTGGAAGGACAACAGGTTAACTGTGATGATGTCATCCATGCATCAAACAACAGAAATGTCAACCTGTCCAATAGAAGCAAAGGAGGCAACAGAGTCCTGGGAAGGTGGGCTAATCACTCTTAAATGTGCTTCTTTGTGGTTGGTTACTTGTTCCACTAGGAAAACAGATTTAGCCAAGTTTGTTGTTTCACTTGAGTGTGGAGATCCCAAGAGCGGGTGGCGTTGCTTTAGTGAGGGGATTCACAAACAAGTAAGTTCAGTTTCCTGTTCGGGCTCTTCTCAAGGAGGTCCTGTTCGTCATTTGCTTGCATCCTGTAACTAAGCTACGTAATACAATGTTGAAACTCAACGTGCTTTAATTGTAAAATGTCCACACCCGGTGAAAGATGTCAAGTCTGATTTTTAAAATGGAGATGTATTTGTGGCTATGATCTCATCTGTGTTCTGTCAAAACAAAATAAAGCAGAAGCCATACTCAAACAACATTGGATTCACTGCTCTGAGCTTTCAAACACAAGCATCCTTGACCAGACCAGACACTGTCTGCTCTGTACCCCCTGGGGTATGGCTGGCCTTTCGTTGATTTCAAAAGGAAACTTCCGAGCTGGATCCATTCCCTGGGGATGTTAAGCAAGACTGTCAGGGCCAGCTTTTCAGGGCTAAATCTCAAGGTTACTGAAGAAAATTAGGAACTGCAGTACTAAAAGTTAGAAGTAATAAAACCGTGTTTTCAACTTTCTGTGTTTGCCAGAAGGTACTAATCTCATATGCAAATATAGTCCTAGCTTGTTGGCTTCTTCGTGGTTATTAGAAGATCAGCAGGGGGATATTGGGAATTCTTTTTTTCCCAAAGCATCTTTAGCATTGAAATTTGAGTGCCATCAGGGTATTGAATACAAAATTATTGAAGTAAAATTAAAGTCATAAATTACCTTCAAGTGTTGGTGTTTTAGTTTTTCTTCTTCTATTTTCAGTCGTTTCTGTGAGATTTCTTCCTGTATTTTTCTTTTGTCCTGAAATTAAAAGAAAGTTCCAGCATAAATAATTAAAAATGTGCGTAAATATGCTTTCTTGGGGTCGTTGTCTTTATCTGAATGGTTGACCAGCAACATGCCCTTGGCATTGGCAGGAGGCTGCTTTGGATACTCAAATTTCAAAGCAAAAGAGAGAAAAGGGAGTCTGTCAAGGCATTTTGCTTATGGGAAAAATATGAAAAGGTGTTTTAGCAAAGAGAATTAAAAAAAAAAAGAGGGACCTTAAAATGATTCAGTGTCTTTTCTTCTCCATTCGTGTAACAGTGATGCAATGGAAAAGGTGAATTTTAAGGAGGGGCGCTTTGAGATGGGTGTGGGAGACATTGTGAGAACAGAGACTGTTTCTGGCACAAGGCTGGAGGAGCTGCTAGGGAAAGGCCTGCGTATGTAGAAAAACAGGACGGCCTACAGGTCGCTAGAAGGGTAGGAGGGGCGTATGGGATTGCGCCCTTCTCCTGTAACTTGCTATGGGTGACAGATAAAGAGTTTAGATATTGTTTCTTAACACCATGCTGAGGTTTTTAAAAAGTTCATGGACAGATATAATATCGTTCACCAATTTTAAATTACATGATCTCAAAACAATACACAACGAGATGATACAACACAAAGCAAACAGAAGCACCTCAACAGAAAGCGCAATCATTGATGCACAGAAGTCGGTACTTCCCAGGAAATATAGCATGTACACTAAGTGACAGTCCAGGGTTGATTTCCGGCTTGTCTGCCTCATCCATATTGTCATCAGTTGCCAAGTCCTTACAGCTTTGACTCCTCGCTCGGGCTTCTCCATTGACTAGTTCTGTGTCCTCAGACAGTCTTGCACTTCTATAAAATGAAGAAACGGAGAGTATCTACCTTATAAGATGTGAGCCCTAGCTAAGCTTACGTATGTAAAAGTTTCTAGAAGATTTCTTAATATGTAGTGCTGTAGAGGGAATTGTTAAGTAAAATTTAATAACTAAGCACATAACTTGTCATTCATTCCAAAAGCAGCACATTAGTTCTCACACTACTTCCACTGGTCTGAAATATTTTAGGGATCCCCTGCGCAGAATTGAGGCATTTGACTAGCCATGGACAGAAGTCCTTATTTCCTCATTTTTGATCAGAGACGATATTCTCTATTCCTGAGAGTTGGTGTTAAGTCTGCTTTCAAAATGAAAAACTGCAAGAGGATAAAATTCTGTTGCCAGTGAAGACATATGAAAAAACTGAAGCAGATTCTGAAGGTAATTTAGAAGGAACAGTTCCAAAAATACTTGGCAGTATCATTGAAATAAGTGCATGGCTTCCTGATGTGGTTCCTTTGAAGGTTAAAAGCTCTTTTTGATGTACAAATTCACGTACATTTGTTGAAGAAAAACAACACATTGTCCTTTGAGTTTATGCTGTTTCTCTTTGTGTGCAGGAGGAACACATGGCTTTATCAGCATTACTTTTTAAATTTTATAAACAATTGTTTTGGGAAAAAATAGCTAAGCAATAAGTGTGAGTCTTTAGAATCACCTTTTAGGTGGAATCTAGCCATTAGTCACAGAAATTCCCAAAGCCTCTGTGAGCCAACTGTCTCCAAGCGGCTGGTACTGAGAGAATATTAGTAATATTTTAAATTTATCATGTAGACATTTTGGCAAGTACTGTACAGGCACTATTTCACTTAATAGTTACAATAATGATGAGATGGTATATTAATTTTCCTTTTATCAAAAAGGAAGCAGAAGCTCAGGAGAGAGTAAGTCATTCAAGATCTCACAAGCAGTGGCACAGCCAGAACCTGGACTCAGCCTGAGACCAGCATCCACTCTCTTAGCCAAATTTCTTGTGTGGGAAGTTAGTTTAGTCATAGCCCTCCTCCCTCGTCTTCGCCATTGTGAAGTTCTGAGGGCTGGAGGCAAGCTATGGACCTCTCATCAGGAGGAAGCATGCTTCTACTTCCCTAGACCTGGGGCTGTCTCCATGAACAGCTGTAGAGAAGACTGCAGAACCCAACAATACGTCCCTGCCCCTGCTGCTCGCCAGTTTGGGTCGATTTCATCTCTGGGTTAGTAATCAGGTCATGAAATCTGTGGGTAGAGGGAGGGCATCGGCAGCGTTTTGGCAACACCAGGCTTATGCAAGTGCTGCTAAGGAATGCCAGTGTTTTATCACTTAGAGGTAATGTGCTTCTTCTCTCCTGTCAGTCTGGGCAGGTGGGAAGGTAATTTTGTAATGTTATGGGCATGATCCTGTTTTAAGAAAGGACTATTTTTTCCTTAAAGGACATTCATCAGCTGTAAGCTGTCACCCTGACAGAAGCATTACGGAAAAATAATACGGCAGTAACTTGGTCGCAGTACGGTAGAGTAAACTATAAGTCAACCTTAAGTTTCATATCTAGCTCTTTTGCCAGAACAGCTACCGGACCTAATCAAAATTGGCTATTTCCTTCGCAAATAATCACGAAAAGATATGTGAAATGCCATCTGCTTGCCCAAATTTCCCCAGAATCTGGAGCACTCTATAGGTAGCTGTTGTGACATGACATCAGACATTTGTAACTATTCTAAAGAACTTACATTGTTGTTTACTTCTTCAGTGTTCAGTGACCAGTTGAATGATTGCCTAGATTTTGACCTAACAGCCTGTTTGTAAAGGTTGACACCTTCAAATTCTAATTCTGTGAAAGAATTCTTCTTATTTTGAAAATTAATTTGTCTTGTGTAACTATCAAGTTATTATGACCACTTATGATTTAGAAATCTTACCCCAATAACATACTCGATAAAAGAAAGCACAATACTTAATATATTCTGGAAGTATTATTAATAATTAGCTAATATTTGAATATGTCTGATTCCGTCAAGAAGGCAGGATTTATCCTGAATTGCTGAGTTACTAATTTATCCCAGACTGAGGCACTTGGGTACAAATTTATATCCAAGGTGACATTAGGAATTCTGCAATATTTCAAAATTATTCAGAAGTAGATGCTTTCCCCAAAAAGCTTACATTCTCATGAAGAAGGAAAGTCACTTGTGTTAGTGGCTATAGTCTGAGAAATATGGTGATACATGTCATTACTAGGGCCATGGAAGTACTGCAACCGTTGGGGAGAGACAGGGAGAGGCTGCTTCCGGTTGGTCCTGGGTGAGGAGGTCTTTGGAAGGGCATCCGGGAGGCGGGTGGGGCAGTTGCTGGGGCTGCAGGGTGAGGAGAAAGGGCATTCAAGGCGAAGCCTCCATGTGAGCAAAGGCCTGGGCCTGGAGTACTGGGACAGCGTTTGGACAGCAAGTCTGCAGGCAGGAGCAGGAAATAAGCTAAGAACAACAGGATAAGGATAGATTCTTCAAAGAGACCATTGAATGGCATGGCTAGGGGCTTCGCATTTATGTTTTGAGGTAGGGAGTGATGAGACGTTTCCAGGGAGAAAATACTAGAGTTACAACCAGGCTGTAAGAAGTTGCAGTCGGCACAGAAGGATGGGAACTGGACCAGTTTGGCTCCCACAAAGATGCCAAAGGTCACAAGTGCTGGGACAGAGGGAGCGGAGGGCGTGGACGTCCCAGGGAGCAAGGAGTTGACGTCAGGATGACAACCGATGACAACATGGTGAGGGCAGGAGCGGGCAGGTGGAGTAGGAAGCTGGATTCTGCCTGGGTCACTCAGGGAGGCGGAATCACTGACAGAAACAGGAACTGAGAAGGAAGGAAGAGTTCGGGAAGAAAGGTGAGAGACGAGGAAGGGACAGATGAAAGGGTGAGGGAGCAGTATTGTGCAAAGGGCTCCGTGAGCAGAGGGGGAAGGGAACCCACAGGGCAGTTTATTTTGGGGTCAGTCAAATACCATTTATAATAAAACTTGGTGAATTTGCCCACATGACAGAAAGGAGCAGTGAGGGGGTCCATGCTATTTCACTTGAGCAGACTACAACGAGGGAAGAAAAAACAATCACGGTGTCATGACACTGGAAGTTATAAGAGATTCAGTGCTCTCATGTTCCACATAATTCATTTTACGTGTAAGAGTTTTAAACCTTGAGAGATAATAAACTGACTTGCTTAAGAATGTACTTAGGAGCACAGCCAAGACTGTAAATTACATCTTAATTCCCAGTCCTGGTCTCTTTTTATTTTTCCTCACTATCTCCACAAAAGAAAGGCAGAGCATATTTGTGAACATTTAGATAAAAGTAAGGAAAAACAAAAACGTCCTGCTGTTATACTTGATACTACCTGAACAGGAAGTGAGTATAGGTGGTATTTTTCTCAGTCAGTTGAAAAACTTGGAAATGCGTAAGCGCAATGATGAGAGAATCCAATTAGTCAAATATTTTCAGATTCCTTTAGCTCAAAGCTGAATATCTGATGAGCTCATGACTACTTTGCTGAGATTTTAATTGCTTAGAACCTGAAAAGATCAATAGTAGAAGCTGCTTATTTAAACTTAAGTACTACAAAGGACTCAGAGCTGCTGGTGATGTACAGATCACAGTAACCGTAGAAAAAGGGACGTGTTAACATAGTATTGCTAGATTGTAATAAATGCTCAGAAAAGCTAAAAGAAAAACAAAAAAAACCCCCCCAAAACCATAGTATTGCTAGGAATGAATTCTGGGCGTAGTTAGAAGTTTGCTAGATATGATGAAAGTAGATTTTAAAAATACTTCTTTTTTTTTTTTTTTTTCTTGTTTGAGAGAGGGTCTCCCCATGTAGTTCAGGCTGGCCTTGAGATCACTTTGTAGCCCAGGCTGGTCTTGAACCTGCAACAGTCCTCCTGCCTCAGTCTCCCAAGTGCTGGGATTACAGTCATGCTCTACCACGCCCGGCTGATTTCAAAAATTCTTGAAAAAATTATTGAAATTCTTTAAAAGATTCTTGAAAAGGGAGCAAATATTTCAAGAAGGAAGATAGATTATGAGGCTTGAAGAATTTACAAGGAAAACATGGATACACAATTAAAAACGATCTTAGTTAAGAAGAAAAGAGAACGACCATAAA